AACTGTCTGAAACTACAAAAAAAAACCCGGAGCAAACAGCTGAGAAAGTACAGGAAATAGATGCCAACTCTAAAAAAGTCAAGAAAAAGGTGCAAATGCTGGAAAGGAAGCAAGCTTTGGATGAATCTCAACTATTACAACTGCAAATGGAGAAAGTTAGCCTGGTCCTCCGGTTCCAAGGGGTCCCTGAGGTAGAAGACGAGAATCTAAAACAACTTTTGAGTGATACATTAGCTCCAGTTACAGATTTAAAAGTGGAATACCTCATAAGCAAAATGGATGTGGTCTATAGGGCCTATTCCATTTACATCAAGAAAAATAATCAGCCTGGGGAGATAGTGGTTAGATTCTTGAAGAGACACGTGAGGGATTCTATCCTTAAAGCAACTACAGGAACACCCCTGAAAATTGGAGGCAACACCATCAGGATCTTAAAAGACATCCCATTTGAGATAAGGAAGAAGAGGAAGAAGTACAAAGACTTAATCCTTTTTTTTTACAAACAAACAGCATTTCCTACAGATGGTTAACTCCTGAAGGTGTCATTTTCAAACTGCAGGACAAAAAATAAAAAATAAAAAAATTGACTCTGTTTCCAAAGTGCGTGAGTTCCTGAGATTGCAACTGGGAGAACCAGTTGAGGACACCAAAGAAGATGGACAGCAAATCTAGTGGTGAACTGAACTCTGTTCCTTCCGACGAGGATTCTGCTTCAGAAAAGGGGGCGGCTGCCTCTAAACGAGAATACCAATTGAGGATTAGAAAAAATAAAGCAAAATGAAGGCTGAAGGACTCTGAATGGTGCCTTAAAGCATGTGATATAAATTATGCTCTTGGGGGTGTCTTTAAACAAAAATGGTTAAAAAGATAGATATTTTAGCTTAATCGACTATGTTCAATGTAACACTAGCATTTTAGATTAACACTTATATAAGTCTCCAGTTCACATACTGTATCAACATTGGTGGTTAGGTCGCGGTGGAGCAACAAGACTTTGTTTGCAAAAAAAGCTCACAAAAGCCTCACAGCTAATGGCCAATTTATAATATTTTGGGTTCTCTCAGTGAGAGAAATTAGAGATCTAATATATCTAAACAATTGTCCTGGGCAAGAGCTAGCAGATGTGATGGAGGCTGAATAAAATTTCCTGTTTTCAGCCTTCACTGCCATCTCATAGGATTTCATAAGCATCCTATATGATGCTCTTGCAGCTTAATCGCAAGTGTGCTGCCAAACTCACTGAAGTCATCTGAGTTCCCATTTCATTCCACTGAGCTCCATAGTGTACCTGGGGGGTGACCTTAATTGGGAATGGAGAGGATGCTGTGGAGTGACTTCATTGATGGCTTCAGAGAGATGGGAATTCCAGTCCTCTATCAATGTATCAAATGAGTCACTGGAGGGCATTGGATCCCACAGAGCATTTTGGAACCCAATTGGGTCCATTAGTCTCAGTGGGTGAGCATAAATCAGATTGTCGTCTAGACCGGGGCAGGGGGTTGCGACACTTAGTTGGGCCTTCAGAACCAAGTGATCTGACCATGGCACTTCCTCCTTCTCTATCAGATCCATCTCCATCCCCATATCAAAGATCAAATCCAGCATGTAGGCTGGTTGGCATGTGGGACCTGATACAACCTGGGAGAGTCCTAGGCTCTGCTGGTGCGCTCGGCGGTAGGTACACCAGACATACAGCTAAACTCTCCTCAGCATCCCAGACTAGGTCAACACAATCAACACCGGTAATCTTGGGCAAGGGAAGTGGCTGGAAGAAGGAATCCTCCCAAGCAACTCTTCTCCCCCCCCCAACACCCCTTTGTCCAAGACTGATGAAGAACTGAGAATCCTGGAGGGGCCAGTTCCTTCAGGGCACCTGTTTTGCCCTCCCTGGCCCAGGTCTTGGTCATGCAAGACAGGTCTGCATTTTGTGCTGCAATATAATCATGTAGTATTCTGATCTTACTATTAATGGACCTGGCATCGCACAACATCACTGTCGAAGAGGGGTCTGTATTCCTAGCCCTCACACGAATGTACTTTGGGGTGGGAAAAAGGTTGGAAGGAGATTGAGCATAACCATATCTCCATCTCTTTCCATTCCAACACCTTTTACCACCACCATTACCTCCCTCTGCCCCTGTTCACTGGGATCCCTAGCCCAGTGCTGGTACTCACCAGGATGTCAACCAACACCATTTTAATACTCACTCCCTCCCTTTACCCACAGCAGTACAGTGATCACAATTGCCAAATAAATCTAAGTACCAATGCAGTATATCATCAATCCCAGTTACATCACAATCTGATTGAGTCACAATATGTCATCACAATATGAGTCAAAGAGCAAAGGTACAACTGGAGCATTCACACTGACCCTGGGGCTTGATGTTACCAATCTCACAGCAACAGCCTTTGACAGTTCCTGTCAAATGAAAATGTTAGAATGATCCTTAAAATAATTGACTGAGCTTCATTCACTTGACTGAAATAAGAATTCTAGAAGAGGTAAGTAACTGTATTGAATACCAACATCTTTTTTGTTCCAAAATATTTGATGCTTTACATTGCCTCCCTGCTTTAAGCTGCCTAATTTCTATTCTGTGTATGAATACACGTATCAAAATAATAGAAACAGTTAACTCTTTTATATTGCCAAAAATTACACCCCTAGAAGTAAAAGTATACAAGACGTCTGCAATGGTTCTGCCCTGACATCTGCAGAAGCCATTTGCTGCCTGGTATATTTATCTACTGGAAATACCCCTTTAAATAAATTGCATTCAAAACACAGTTTGAAGTGGGGATCTCTTTTCCTTTTGAAAGTGAAAAGGGAAGTCCCCTGAAAAGTTTTGAATAGTTTTCACCTGTTTTTCTCGGTAGACCCTGCGAAATGTTCGATGTTATTTCACAACCTAAATGGTCAGAAATGATACATGTGTGTAGAAAGAACAGTGCACGTAATTTTGCACACAGTTTATCTAAATCTTGCAAAACCTATTTGCCAGTTATATTTTGTCTTCCTACCGTGTGTGTTAAAGTGGTTCAGACATTTTACCTCTCCTTGGGCCTCTGTGTTGCCGTGATCTGCAGCAGTTGCTTGTGGCTTCTAGAGTACAACAAACTACAGCCAGAGTGTATTGCATATGTCTGATGATGCTCCCTAAAATGATTAATCTTTTTAATTTACAGATATTCCATGTCTTTCTTATCATGCCGCTCCTTGATGTGAGCAAGTCCTCATCACATCCTTCAGATGATGAGCAAAAGATTTTCCAGTACATCGATCATCATCAAGATACATTTGTTCAGGTGCGAAAAGTCATACAGCGCGTAGATTCTGCTGCAGCGGACAGATGGGGCAGGCCAGCCCTAGTCATGTTTACTTGGAAGTCTTACTGTGATCAGCAGGACAGATAGATTTGAGTTCAGTAGCACCAAGAGTTTCAGGGTATAAGTTTTCAAGAGTCAAAGCTCCATTCATCAGGTTGAACAGGGAATTCATATAAGATTGCAGCACCAATCTGAACCAGAGCACATATGATTCTAGAGCCAGTGCTAGTGTGCGGCTCCTTACCCAGCATTTTGCCCCAGGATCAGGGTAGGTGACAGAAGCACATTACATGCCAGAGTGGTTTCCAGCTCACTTTTTGGGCTGTTCCGTATTGCAATGCTTTCTTTCAGAAGCCCTGTTGTTAACTGCGGCCACTGATACATTGCAGCAGCGACAGGTTTCCCTGCATTTTCTGTATTCCAGTCCCCATGGTGGCTGGCTGTCTTTCCCGCACACATGCATGGACACAATGGGGTGGACCTTTGTGAGTTCTTTAAAACAGGGAGTTGACATGTCAGCGTGCCATTATTTTGATATGCTAGTGGTGGCTTAGAGGTTAAGATGCTGAGCTGCAGACCAGAAGGTCTGTAGTTAGGCAGTTCAAGACCCTAGTGCTGCGGGATGGAGTGAGCTCCCTTCTCTGGCCCCATCTCCTGCCAACCTAGCAGTTCGAAAGCAAGAAATTGCAAGTAGATAAATAGGTACCGTTTTCAGTGGGAAGCTAACAGCATTCCGTGTGCCTTGGTGTTTAGTCACGCCGGCCACATCACCATGGAAATGTCTTCAGACAGCGCTGGCTCTCCGACTTGGAAACGGAGATGAGCACCGTCCCCTAGAGTTGGGTTTGACTGGCTTTTGAGCAAGGGAAACCTTTACCTTTACCTTTTAGTTACAGATTAAAAAATAAACTTAAAAAAGCACCCCAGAGATATGGGCGGGAGGGAGCCTGTCACAGGATCAAGAGCAGGGAATATGGCTGCTGCAAGAGCAGGATTGGGAAAATCCAGATGTTGTGTACCCAGGGAAGTCCGCGCACGCGGTCGGGTCAACACATCAGGCGAAGGGCCGGAGCTTCGTCTCCAAGGACAATAGCCAGAACGGATCCTAGCGCGCACCTATCAGGAGGCTAGGATCCTAGAAGGGACCTACGGGTCTAGGGGTGCACTGTAAATACCCTATCACGGGTGTGGGTGTGGGTGTGGTGTGATTCAGGAATATAAGCCAGCCTGCGAGCCGGGTAAAACATCTCAAGATCTGCATGTAACTTAATAAAGTATGAGCTGTAATCACTCTACACACATCAGCCTCAGTACTTTATACCAGATCTTCCTGCTCATATGGCAGCCAGCTTATCTTTGCTAAAATCTTTCCTAAAACATCACAGTAAAGCAGGTTTGGAAAAGATGACGGAACAGCTAAGGAAAACCTGGGTGATGCACAGAAGCACCATGATGCTCTGGGGAAGTGGAGAAAAACCTACTTCCCAAAAGTATCGAACCCAGGGCAAATCATGTATGGAAATTGCCTTTTTCTCAGTGGACATTATTATTTTTTTAATTACATAAATCCTACAAAACTATACACGAACTAAAATTACAGCTATAGAACCATATATGATAATTAATATCTTAAGTCAAAGCTTTTCTTTTATTCAAGTTAAGAATAAAAGTTCTGTTCGTTATTTCGATATGCAAAAAGTTAAAATTATTGACAATGCAAGATTATGTAATATAATATAAACCTTTCTTCTAAAGTTTAAGCTATTTTCTGCCTTTCCTTCCTCTCCTTCCTACACCTGTTTAGTGTAGAGAGCCAGTTTGGTGTAGTGGTTAAGTGCGCGGACACTAATCTGGGAGAACCGGGTTTGATTCCCCACTCCTCCACTTGCACCTGGCTGGATGACCTTGGGCAAGCCGTAGTTCTGATAAGAGCTGTTCTTGAAAAAAAGCAGTTTCTGTCAGAGCTCTCTCAGCCCCAACAACCTCACAGGGTGTCTGTTGTGGGAAGGGGAAGGGAAAGGAGTTTGTAAGCCGCTCTGAGACACCTTTGGGTAGTGAAGGGTGGGGTATAAATCCAATCTCTTCTTCTTCTTCTTCTTCTTCTTCTTCTTCTTCCTTCTTCTTCTTCTTCTTCTTCTTCTTCTTCTTCTTCTTCTTCTTCTTCTTCTTCTTCTTCTTCTTCTTCTTGCTTTTATTGTCTCAGGGTGGTTTGGGTACTGCCTCTCCCAATTCTGATTCAGATTCTACTTCTGAGCTGCCATCTGCAGATGTTTTGTGGCTTTCCAAGCCATGCGAACTGTCCAGTTCTCCTTCTTCTTCTGTGTTCTTTGTATCCTTTTTGGGTTCCTGATGTCTTTCCAAAAATTGCTTAGCTTTGGTAAAAGAGTCAATCTTTTCTTTTTTGCCTTTGTAGTTGAGCATCAAGCCTTCAGGTAGTATCCATCAGTAGGTAGTGGAATTTTCCCGTAAATAGGTCGTTAAATTCTTGTATTGTTTTCTCTTCTTCCTTATCTCAAATGTTATGTCTTTTAGTATTCTGATGTCTTCTTTGATTTTCAGTGTAGTCCCAGATGTTGCTTTCAATATTGCATCTCTTATAGATCTCTTAGAGAATATGACATATATTTCATCAGGCAGGTTTTTTTTCTTAATAAATTCTGAATATGTCCAATAGATCATATCCATTTCACTTTGTAATACTTCCACCTTAATGCCTGTCACTGGTGCAAGTGCTTCACTAAGGATTTCTTTCAGATTCTCAGATTTGTCTTCTGGTACACCTTGAAATCTCAACACATATGAAGATTTTTCCATTTGTAGCTGCAAAAGTTGAGTTTTATCTGAAGATCTTTCTTTTTCCATAACTTCCAGTCTTTGATCAATTGCTTTAGTCTTGTTTTCAACTTCTTCTGTTCTTTTATTGGATTCTTTTAGCTGTTTTGTAAAGACTCCAAGGTCTTGTTGATGTTAGTCATCTGAGCCACCAGAGGTCACAATGCAGTATCCAGCATGCCTGCAAAGTCAAAGTTCATTTCCAGTTGAGAAACCGGACGTGTTGAGCTGGCAGTTCCTTATTGAAGCTTCGCTTTTGCCACCATCTTTTCAGCCCAATAAGACATTGTTTATGTTTTGTAAAAGTTTGCTTAAGTCTTTAGAAGTTTATTCGCTCTAACGCCTTAACAGTCTGGCATTGTACTGATTAAAATCAGCCGTCTGCTCAAACGCTGCCACTTTCTGTCCCCTCTAATGCTTTTAAATCTTTGCCATTTTCAAGGGGTGGGTAGCTTCCCCCCCCCCTCCGCTTTTTCTTGGAGGCATCCGGGCTGGCATCTTACTCATGCTCCGCTTCATCAGGTAAGAGAAAGTCTTTTTGTTTTCGCTAGTCAGTTGCTCACTGGTCCGGTATACTTGTCTCATGCCCAGAATGGTACCGTGGCGGCGGGGACCTATAGGGGCAGGGGGGAGCCTCGATCCTTTAGCTTCAGCTCTGAAGAGAGTGGCCCGTGACCTGGCAGCAGGGAGGGGGTCTGGCTGGTTCTGGACTCCCCCCGGAGCCCTTGTAGGGGGCTCTCAGCCTGGGGCGCTGGGGGTGCCTCTTGACAGGCTACGTTATTAAGTGCAACAGCAGCAGCTTCCCCATTTTAATCTAGCCTGCACTTGTCTTAACTCTGCAACCATGCAGTTAGCAACTAGACTGTGTTACGAAAAAGTGATAGGAATTTTGATGCAAGAGAGAAATGGGTATCTCTTCTAGTATAAAAGTCTTTTAACATCTCTCCTTCATCCTGGAAACATGATGCAATTTGGAAACCTGTTTTGCACTCACAGCTGTCTAAACTATTCCAATTTAGCATGCAGCACATCCTGGTTTAAGAATACGAAATGCAGACTTAGCTTAGGGCTTTTGCCCCCCATGCCTTGAAATGATCTGTTTTCTCTGCCCTCACCCTACCCCATTTTATACTGAACATCCAGCCTGAGGAAGAGTTCTGGAGAACTCAAAAGCTTGCACACTGTTTTGTGGTGCACACAGTTTTCCAATGTTTTGGTTGGTCTGGTGATATTATGGAATGAGGTGAAAAGACTATTAATCATGATCTACTCTGAATATAATAGTCACTTCCAGCAATGTTATATCAGTCAAGGCCCCTGGGTGTACAGAACTTCCTATCTGTGACTTCATTTTGCTGCCATACTGAAAGACATTGGACCATCAAGATAAGTATTAAGAGCAACACCCAGTTTTTACAACTAATGACATATTCCTTTACCCCCAAATTCTACAAGCCTTGCTAGAATCTTCAGATTTTTTTTTTAAAAGAATCTTTTCTTCCCCAGCTTTTCCTGTTGCATTTCTCTTCCAGTCTTCTCTAGTCACTACTGTAGGTATGCTCCATGGGTTCTGGCAGCCACTGGATGGAGAAGTGAATGGAAAGCAATGAAAGTTGCTAGTGGTTGTGCAAACTACAGTATACATGTGTTATACTTCACAAATAAAATTAGAATATTTATGCTTCATATATATATTCATAGATATAGATATATTCACAAGCAATGCTTGTGAGTCAGTTTCAAGAATCATTAAACTATTCTAGGAGGGTAACCTTTAAGGGATGTTAGGAGGCCAACGCAATCAAACTATGACTATATGTTGGGAGATATGTAAGGATGTGTGGGGGTGTGCACTTCCACCATATTCCCACAATATTTCCTCTTTCCCTCCCCCTGGCAACTCCATATCCTCACTGTTTCCTTCTTTCCTTCCCACCCACCAGCCAACCTACCTTTTATTTGCCCCCCTCCATCTTCAGCTTTTAAAATAAATTACCCTATACTCTGCCTTTCTCCTCAGTGGGGACCCAAAGAGGCTTACATCATTCTCCTCTCCTCCATTTTATCCTCCCAACAACTCTGTGAGGTAGGTTAGGCTGTGTGCGTGAGTGGTCCAAAGTCACAGAGTGAGCTTCCATGGCAGAGTGGAGATGTGAACCAGTGTCTCCAAGATCCTAATCTGAAACTCTATAACCATTATGCCACAGTGGCTTTTGTGGGGAGGCAGTAAGCAGCCTGCCCTGGATGACTCACGCAAGTCATGTGGTATCAAGATGCCTGATGGTTGCTGCCTGGCTTTTTCCTAGTGAGTCCTCTCACTGCCCAAAACAGCTCTGGAAAGGGCTCTTCTTTCTCCTTGTGCCTTTTGCTGATAGAAACTAAGGCTTGAGGGCTGGCGATACTGTTTAATCCCCTAATGTATTTTTGGGAAGATTTTAGATATTTTTGTAAACCTGGAGCTTTTTTCAGGTTTGTAGAAAGATCTGTCTTGTCTGTCCATAGCTCCAGTCCCTGGATTTAAGTATCCACATATTTGGCCCTGTTAAGAGTTAGACATATTGATGATAGGCAACTGTTACTAGATATTTATATGGCAATTCATGGACTCATACAGTATCACTGTCTTTTCTTTCAGAGTCTGTCAGAATGGGTGGCTGTGGAGAGTGATTCCATACAACCACACTTAAGAGGAAATATAACTGAAATGGTAAAGATAGCAGCAAATAGTCTCCAGGCTTTAGGAGCTACTGTAGAGTTGAAGAACGTGAGCAGTCAAGATGAGGTACCCAGTTATGATTTAATTTTTTTTTAATGAACCAGACTGTACAAGCCTGTACCAATGGAGTGTCTCTGGTTTCTTCTGATTTCACCTCAGCCCCACCCTTCCATTTTGCATTGTGCCAGATGGTCTGACTCTTCAGAAATAGAAGGGCTGCTGTGGGAAGAGGGGCTGGGATTACCATGTTGCAGAAGCAAAGTTTCACTGATGGATCTTTGGATCTGAGCTCTCGTTTTTAAAGTCGTATTTCTGCATGTTAACTGCTATGGTAATCTGTTGGGTATTGAAGTACTTTGTTAAAACTGGAATGAATTATCTCTTTCCACCATATTTCTTGATGCTGAGCAAGATACCCAACCCTCCCCACATAAATCCCCTTTTCCACAATGGCAAAGGTTGGTCTTGGGTTTTCATCCCCTTCCTTTGCTTCAGGTGAAGAAAGGGTGTTAGTAGTGGATATAATGTACCTTGGGAAGACTTAGGCGATGTCTACAAATTACAGCCCTGTGCAAAGCATGGTGGAGTTGCCGCCTACTTTGCATGGGTGCGCGCACACACACAGACTCCCAACAATCAAAGCTTGCAGTGCCAGTTTCAGTGGATTCTACCATGCATTCTGTGCACTCAACCTGCTCCCCTATATTATGAGATGGTGTAATTCTGTTCCATTTTTCACAGTGGCTGATAACACAGCAGAGAATCCCCTAGTGCTTGCCAATATGGAAAACAAGGCTTCACAGCTGCTTTTGTTGGTTTCAAAAATAGCCATCTCAGTTTCAACATTGCCCCCCCTTTGCCTGTGTTCATTTGTGTTCCCTTTCATTCAACAGACTAATGCTAAAATGCATGCGCAAAACCTGAACCACGAGGATTGAAATGGAAGGCGCTTGCTGGATGCTACTGTGCAGCTGTGATAGGGCAATTGCTTAAATTTAAAAAAATTGGACACACACCCCCACACATCACAAATGACATTCCCACCCCAATTTAGAAAAGAGCATTTGGTTGTTGTTGTTGTAGCTGCAGAATAAATACACTGGAGGAAAAATAATGGTGTGTAAGGCAGGCATAGAATCTGAAATCAAGTTTAAAGGCTTACTGCTCAGAAAATCTGCAGTGTATGTGTTTGTGTGTGTGTGTGTAATAGGCCTATATTAGAGTTGCCACTTACCCAGTTCTGGTGGGGGGCTTGCTGGCAATTCTCCCCATCTCTCACCCTCACTCAGTGGAGTAGCAAGTAGAAAGGGCAATCAATGCTGAGATGTCACTTCCTGTTTTGGAACAGGACTGTATATATAAACTCTGCAATCTGTTTGTATAGCTCTTACATGGATCCTAAACAATCCCAGGGTACAGATGGGTATCGGGTTGGCATGTCCCCCTTGGCCACTTGTGGGGGATGGGGAGTACGTTTGCCAGATCCAGGTTGGGAATCTCCTGGTGACCTGGGGATAGAGCCTGGGGAGAGCGGGGACCTCAGTGGGATCCAATGCCATAGAGTTCTCCCTCCAAACCATCCATTTTCTCCAGGGGAACTGTAGTCTGGAGATAAGATGTAATTCTGAGGGATCCCCAGGTCCCACCTGAAGGCTGGCATTGCTAGATGGGCAGCTGCCAAAACCATAGAACAGGCCATGGTTTCAGATCTTAGTAAATCTTTTATGCTCTGTTTCTCAGAATTATTCATACAGTTAGGGTCATTCATCGTAACCCAGAATTATCATTAGATAGATGAGACAGCCTCCATCAGGCAGAAGATCCAGGGATATGGTTAAAGGACAACAAATTCTCAGTGATTTAATTATTGATTGTATTTTACCACCACGAGTCACCATTTGGATTTTATTCCTTGGGCATTTAAATGTTTTGGGATATCTGGAGGAATTTCTTCAAAGAAACCTGTATCGATAATAGCAAAGTCTGTTTTTTTAAAGCCTTTAGAAGTTAGGCATGACCTTTCAAGAAAAAAACTTAAAGTGAAACTCTCAAGTATAAGCGAAGTCCAAGTTCATCTAAGATTTTCAATTTCCTTTTGCATTGTCTCTATATCTTCCTACAGCCTTATGGCCAGAACCTTTCATTACCTCCTGTCATTCTAGCAGAGCTTGGGAAGGATACTGCAAAACCCACTGTGTGTTTTTATGGACATTTGGATGTGATGCCTGCCAAAAAGGAAGATGGATGGAAAACAGATCCCTACACATTGACTGAGATGGATGGTCTGTATGCTGTCACTGGATCTGACACCATGCTTTTGAAGTAGATGTATTCAGTGCTTTGCCTCATTTCATATTGGGTGGGGGGGAAGGCTCTTTCAAAATGTTACACCTGCCTATTCCTCATTAAATACCTGTGGGGAAAAAGCAGTGAGATGAGACTTCAGGAGTTTCATTGCGGTTTTCTGTTATGATCTGAATAACACATTTAGGGACCCAGTGCAACCAAAATTAGTCACTCTTTAGTATCATCAGTGATCTTATTTTAGTTGGATCAGAACCATGCATGGTGCTCTTGCACACTGTGGGTGCCTTTCATTACAGTCCTTATGGAAGCAGACAATGGGACTAATTAAATATCTGTAGTGTGCAATACTATTCTGCTTAGTAAATTTAGTAATACATAATGACGCAAGCAGCCCTTTTAGATTGTACAGCAAGTATTTTAGCTGAAGCTTCTAATAAGTGAAGTTGCTACCTCATACCCACAGGGTCTGCTAAGAGTCCATTAAGACTCTGGTAATGTCATACGGGATTTAAAAATAAAATCTGGGTTTTCTGAGGCAAAGGACTATTGTTTTAGTCCATTGGAAACATCCTCAAGCATTATGTAAATTATTCTACATTCTAGCACTGTGAAAAGTTCCAAAGCTTAATGTTAGTATACTTTATTTTAAGGAAAACTTTATGGTCGTGGAGCAACTGACAACAAGGGACCTGTCTTAGCTTGGATAAATGCAGTGGGGACATTCATAGCACTAAATATGGTAGGTTAAATCTGTATTTGTAGAAACTGTCTTGTGAAATTGTATATAACTGACTACTGCTCTGCTGTGGTGTCAGTTACTAAATGAAGACAAACTTGGCCTTACATATTTTGTAAGTTCTAGCATTTGTATACAGTTTTATTCTTTGCCAAGGAGTATAAATAGATTTTCCAGAAGAATTTGAATTGGAAATTTTAATGGAAGAAAATTAAGTATAATGTAAATAATACTAGCAAAAGAAGGCAATTATGGCATGTAAATGCACTGGTTTTTGTCAATGCTTCATATCCCATATTTAGCCCATCTAACATGATGGATTTGCCCCACAACAGCCCTGACAACTATAAATAAACAAAATGTACTTACATACGTGAGACAGAAAAATATAGCACTGGATTAGTACTTGCGCATTTTATGCATTTCATATCTGGAACAAGATCAAGTTACTTCCTTGTGAAATAAAAGAAACAAATATAGGGTTTTTTCCCCTGCCCCACCTACTGGAGGCTTTTTTCCATGGTGAAGCACAGTAGCCAGTGGAGAATGTTGTAGGAGGAAAGTGTTTGCATACATTTTCCCATGCATTTGGAAATGCTGAAAAAGGGTTTCATGCTTAAGGTATAACTGCACAATACGCCCAATGTGTGTCAGGTCATCACCACATGACCAGACTCAGATATACATCTGGGGAATTCACTTTAAAAAGTGCTTACTCGCTCAGTACTGCAAGGTCACAGTAAGGGGAGAGAAGCAGCTTCCAAGTTTCCCTTCTTGCTCAGTATCTGTGAGCAGAAATGGTGGTGGGGGGTTGCCCCTTTTTTTTTCTGGTTTCACATGTCCTTCCTAGGGAAGAAAAGGGCTGAAAAGCCTCCTCCCCCATGGCAAAAACTGTGTAAGGGAAACTTCCCCCTCATAGTGCTCCCTTGCAGTGCTGAATGAACTTTCAAGGGTCCAGTTGTGTGCCCATGGCCCAACATGTGTCAGGCCCTTAGGCATGCTGAGAAACCTGTCAGTTCATCTCAAGTCCAGCTTGTGGGTCTCCAGTTGTTCAGTGAGCTAGCTGTTCAGAGGCATCCACATGCATCTGGATGTGTCCTTAGTATGATTATACTATTTTCTTGCACAAGTAGACATTCTTGCTATAAGCTTAGAGAAACTATTACAGAACTTGTATTACTGGCGGTGGATTTAACCTAACATTGAAGTTTCTTTCTTAGACTTTGCCAGTAAACGTCAAGTTTCTTCTTGAAGGCATGGAAGAAGCTGGATCCCATGGGCTGGAAGACTTACTTAAAGAAAATGAGGGATTTTTTTCTGATGTAATGTACATTGTGATTTCGGATAACATATGGCTCAGCAACAAAAAACCAGCTCTAACATATGGAACTCGGGGAAATGCTGCCTTCTTTGTGGAGGTAAAAGAATGAAGCAGCAGTCAGTGGACACAAATATTCTAAGCATAATTTGTGTAGCTTTTCTGTTAGGATGATGGGATAATGCTTCTAGAGTCTTGGCCATCCCATCTCTTGCTGGGTGACCATGAGTCAGTTGCTGTTCTCTCAAGAGCAGTTCTCTCACTCAACCCCACCTACCTCACAGGGTGTCTGTTGTGGGAAGAGGAAGGGAAGGAGATTGTAAGCCACTCTGAGGCTCCGAGCGAAGGGTGGGGTATAAATCCAATTCTCCTCCTCCTCCAGTTGAGTCTGCCTGTCCCAGTACTCTCAGTCATTTCAGTACTGCTAACTCTTTAACTCTCTGGGTGCTTCCACACCAGGGTGATTTTTCATTGTCATCTGGTTGCTGATGTGATTCTGTGTAAATTTTCCCTTGCAATGGAAATTTCACACATCCCAGAGTAATCCATTTTCTCTCCATTATTAGCCATGGTTTCCCTTGCACACCTGATGGGCATTGAAGTACCCTCTGCTCTGTTGTCACATGACTGTCAGGATGCTCCACCCACCCCGTTTCTGTTTGTTCATTTTTTTGAGGACCTTGGGTAATGTTGCATACTGACTTAAACAAATTGCAGGGACCTCTCAGAAGACTCCCCCTCCCTAAAAATCAGACTGAGCTGTGAGTGCTTCTCTTCTCTTCTGTTTTTTTTTTTTTTTTTAAAACCCATGAGCATGGATAACACTGGATAGGAATAAAACAATGCCTTTACAACCTAAAAAAAATTCCTCCTTGAACAGTCCCTTCCCATCTGTTAGTTAGTTTCTGCAGGGGTCTAGGCTCTTGCAGTCCTGATCATATGAAAGAGTAACTGAACAGCACTCGTGTAGTGTATCCAGACTGACATGTCCGGACATGCCCGGACTGGCTCAGGCACAAACACCACTAGCTTCATGCCAAAAGACAATGGGCCAGTAGGATCCTAGCCAGGCCCAATGAAAGAGCTAGGTCCCCAGCTGGGAGGCCAATAGGTCTCTCGGTTACCGTAAATAGCCTATTGGGAGTGGGGTGTGTGTTTGGTGGCGGGTTTTCTGAAGGAATATAAGCCAGCCTGCGAGCCAGCCAAGCGTCTTTGTTCCTGACTAAATAAAGGTATGCTTACCTGAAATCACTCTCCGTCTGCATACTTTTCAACTCTGTTGTTTCCCCTTCAGACACAAGAGATATCTTCTGACCATAGTGTCTTGTCCAGGAAATATTTCCCCCCCAAAATCAAAATAAAGCATGGTGGTTTGTTTTTTCCTGTGAAAGGAATGGGCTGTTAATGGTCTATGCACAAATGAAGGATGCCATCATGTAGAAACATGAAAAAAGCACCAGCCAGGTGTCAAAAATACATAAAATTCCTGGTGTGGAAGCAACTTAATCATTGGATTGGATGCAGCCAGTTCTTTACTCAATCCCATCCAATTTTCCTCCTTACCTAAGCAGTAAACCCCTGAATACCTCTGCCTGGAGGCAATATCAGGCCTTGTTGTTGGCTCTCCAGAATAATTGGCTGGCCACTGTGTGAGACAGGATGCTGGGCTAGATGGACCACTGGTCTCATTCAGCAGGGCTGTTCTTTTGTTCTTACAATGCTGCCTTTCTTTCATCCAGGTAGAATGCTGTAAAAAAGATCTTCATTCAGGATCCTTTGGGGGCATCATCCATGAAGCAATGTTTGATTTGGTAGCCCTTCTTGGTAATATTTGTATACATTTGTCTAAATGATATTTTGTTACTGGTCTCGTAAGATTCTAAGGTTAGTTTTGATAAGCAAGGTTAGAACATGTAAGGAAGGGTATAGGTCTTGAGAAGAGTCTTTGCGGCTGGGAAGTATTTCTGGATGTTGTGTAATGAGGAAAACAACCAACTGGTGGATACAAATTAATAGACTACACATAGTTAATATAATAAAATTAAGAGCTAGCATACTCTGACAAAAGGTAGACATGGAGGATCAGGAGAGCAAAGAGGATCAAGGGCATTGCAAAATGTTCACTTAGATATTTTATACTGTTAAGGGACATGGTATAGTTAGTGTCTCAGTAAACATACTAAGGCCCCGGTCACACGGGCAGGAAACTGCAGAGGAGAAGCGTGGCTGTTTGCCCTGGGGCAAACTACTGCGCAGTTACGTGATCAGACCTCCTGTGGAGGTCCTGTGGAGGTACCGTGGAGGTTCCATGGCAAGGGAGAGGTGCCGATCACAGGACAAGCCGGCGCACAACGAAGAAGCGCACGCCGCGGCAAACTGTTTTTTATTTTTGTGTACATGACAAATGCGCATGCTCCGTTGGGTGCGCATGCGTATCCACAGAGACTTGGACAAAAAAAACACACCTTATTTGCAAGGGGACATGGGCGGGCGCCGGATGCCACCGGAAACGCGATCAGACGCCCGCCCTTGCCCCGCAGTTTCCGGAAACTAGTACCTCCAAGGTACTAGTTTTTTGCCACGCAGTTTCGGCTGGAAGCCTCGGTTGAGCCACGGGAGTGCTACGCTTCCCAGATGTGCTGGTGAGATCGCGCCCGGAAACTCCGGCTGTTTTCCGTCTCACTTGTGTGGCTTCTGTTACGTGTGACCGCAGCCAAAGTATAGTTCTAAGACCACTTTGGTAAAATGCTAATCAGAACATGACATTTTAGGGTTACCAGCTCTGGGCTGGGAAATAGCTGGAGATTTTGGGTGTGGAGCCTGAGGAGGGTGGGGTTTGGGAAGGAACTTCAGTAAGGTATAATGCCATAAGGTCCACCTTCCAAAGCAGCCATTTTATCCAGATGAACTGATCTGTGGAAATCAGTTGTAATCCCAGGAGATCTCCAGCCATTGCCTGGAGGTTGGCAACCTTAACATGATAGATGCAAGCAGTACAAGATACTTGCTGCTTTTGCTGGTACAAATCATGTGATATTAACTATGGATTAGTTATTAACTTTTTTGTATAAATCTGGCACAAAGGTACTTTTAAACAATGGGCTTTCCTTACATGTGTTTCTAATGCCATGTGAAACCTGAACTAAGTGAATGTATGTTTTAAGATAATTTTCTTCCTGTTTCTATCCATATCACATGTGGCACAAATAGCATGCAAGTCAGCCATGCACTGACTTCTTAATACCAATCTTAAACCTCCTTAAGTCCCAATCATTTTCTTATTTTTCTAAATGGGTCAAGCAAGAATCCTGGAGTATACCTCACATGCCTGGAGATGAGCATGATACAGCAACAATTGTGTGTGTGTTTGTGTCTGTTCCATAGACAGTCTTGTGGATTCATCTGGTCGTATTCTGATCCCTGGAATCTATGATGATGTTGCTAATGTTACAAATGAGGAGATGAAGCTGTATGCACCGATAGATTTTAATTTCGAGGAACATAAAGCTAATATTGGTGTGAAGGAATTTCTTTATAAAACCAAGGTACAATATTTTCAGTGAGTGCTGTAAAACAGAAGAATTAGTGGGAAACAGACAATTACTGTATTTGTTATTTATTAAGGGTTTTGTATCCCCTATTCCTGTTACAGGGACTTGTGCTAAAGCAGTCCAGTTTAGAGGCAGCTAAAATTCTTCCTTGCACAATGGGAAAGGAAAGTATTATAAGCCACTGTAAGTCTCTGCATGCTTCAGAAGTGGATACAAATTCTGCTTCAGTAGATGAGTGGGTAACATTTCTTGTTTACAACTTGCCCAACTTATAGCACAACCCCTGTAGAAAATACATAATTGCTAGTGGATCTTAGGTCTGATCTCTCCAGCCCAGTCTGCATCAGCATATCCCAACACTGGGATTATTAGTTCTTGGCAGTATAAATTTAAAGTGTGCAGTAACCTTCAAGGATGTCAAACATATGGCTGTAGAGGGGATTTTTATGACAAGGACAATTAACATTGGAATCACCCTGCTCTGCTGTTTACTTTGAGACCTGATTACACACATGGACATTCAAAGAAAGGAAAGGGATGTGGGAAAGAGATAATTTGGGATAAGGGGAAAGGGGAATTAAAAGGAAATTATTTTGGTTTATTCTGAAAAAAAAATTAGATTAGATTTCTCTGTGTCTATCTGGGATTTTATTTTCTTTCTTTTTTTTTAAAAAAAAGCCCACCCTGATTAGGAATTACAACACTTGGATTGGATTCCATTGTTTAATGAGTGGAAGTAGATGGCTAAGTATTTAAAAACATTATGGTTCCATATGTTCCAGTTTAACAGTTCTCCCTCTCTCCCCTCTCACCTTCCAGGCTGCCTTTCTTCACATTAAACCCTTCCCCCTTTGCTTTAAATGTTTCATTATCATCACTAGCACTGAGTGGATTTTGCCCAGTCTGAGATCAACACATTATTTCATTTGGAGAGATCCCCCTCTCCATTTCTAACAGATGAAAAAAAAAAAGAAACCTAACAGCACAGCTTGCAATATTTATTAGTGGAAAGGAGCAAGAGTCCAGTTGTATCTTAACAACTAACAAAATTTGTGGCAGGGCATGAGCATTTGTGAGTCAGATACGGCTAGAATGTGAGTGCATCTGTTCTTATATCTTGGAGAGTGGAGTGATTTCTGATGCCAAATGACAATAGCATGAGGTAGTAATAAATTATAGATGGTCTTCTCTTGGTGGGTGTTATTTGGGGCTATAAATGATAATAGCAGGCATTGGTAATGAGATAGGAAACCTCAGTTCAGTCCAGGAGGACACATTGTCTTGAGCTTCATTATCAAGCAGTTCATTTTTATTTATTTATTTATATTTACATTTATATCCCGCCCTACCCCGAAGGCTCAGGGCGGCTAACAGGGGCACAAGATGCCAAGTTAAAACAATAGCATATAATTTTAAAACAATAAATTACAATAAAATATAAACAGTTTACAGTAAATTTCAAGCAAGAAGGGAAGATCTTAACCTCACATAGCTACCGATCTTATCCTCAGAGCAGTGTCCAGCACCACACTCCACCCTTGGGGGCCAGGCAATCAGATGTCAAATCGCTAGGGCATAGGGCGTACAGATGGAATAGTGATGGCGGCGGCTCCTATCCAAAGGCCTGGCGGAAGAGCTCCGTCTTGCAGGCCCTGCGGAACTGAGAGAGGTCCCGCAGGGCCCGGATCTCCTCCGGGAGCTCTATCCACCAGGTAGGAGCCGCCACCGAAAATGCCCTAGCCCTAGTCACAGCAAATTTAACTTCTCTCGGGCCTGGAATTTCCAGGAGATGTCTCCCTCCCGACCGAAGTGCCCTTGGGGGAACATATGGAGAAAGGCGGCCCCTCAGGTAGGCTAGACCCTGGCCATTTAGGGCTTTAAAGGTCAAAACCAGCACTTTGAAGCGAATCCGGTATGCTATCGGCAGCCAGTGCAGCGCTTTCAGCACAGGCTGAATGTGGTCCCTCCTCGAGAGACCCATCAACAGCCTGGCTGCAGCATTCTGCACTAGCTGCAGCCTCCGAATTTGCGACAAAGGCAGCCCCATGTAAAGAGCGTTACAGTAGTCTAGCCTTGAGGTAACCGTCGCATGGATCACTGTGGCCAGGTCCTCACGGCTGAGATAGGGGACCAACTGCCGAGCCAGCCGAAGATGGTAAAAGGCCGCCCTGGCAATGGTTGCTACCTGGGCTTCCATCGTTAAAGAGGAGTCCAGGCGCACCCCCGAACTCCTAACCTCCGACACTGGCACCAAAGGCACCCCATTGAAGGTCGGGAGAGGGAGCCCCAATCCCATGCCGGTCCAACTCAGGCCCAGGACCTTCGTCTTTGCCGGGTTTAGTTTCAACCGACTCAGCCTGAGCCAACCAGCCACAGCTTGTAACGCCCGATGCAGGTCATCAGGAGTAGAGCCCGACTGGCCGCCCAGCATCAGATAGAGCTGGGTGTCGTCAGCATATTGATGACAACCCAGCCCACACCTCCGGGCAATCTGGGCAAGGGGGCGCATGTAGATGTTGAACAACATCAGGGACAACACGGCCCCCTGGGGCACCCCACACTCCAGGGGATGCCTCTGGGACCGCTGATCCCCTATCGCCACCCTTTGTCCCCGACCCTGGAGAAAAGAGGCAAACCATTGCAAGGCTAGCCCCTGGATCCCCACGTCGGCGAGGCGGTGGGTCAACAACTGGTGGTCGACTGTATCAAATGCGGCCGACAGATCTAACAACACCAGAGCTGCCACACCACCCCGATCCAGATGCCTACGGAGATCGTCAGTCAGGGCGACCAGCACAGTCTCCGTCCCATGACTCGGGCGGAAGCCGGACTGGTAGGGATCGAGGACGGAAGCATCCTGCAGAAAACTCTGAAGCTGTAACGCCAACGCCCTCTCAATGAGCTTGCCCAAATAGGGCAAGTTAGACACCGGCCGATAGTTAGCCAATTCGGTCGGGTCTAGAGATGGCTTTTTCAAGAGAGGGCAGACCATCGCTTCCTTGAGTGCCTTGGGGAATTGTCCCTCCATGAGGGACAAGTTAATAATCTCCTGCAGGGCACCTCGAAACCCCTCACGGCCCGCTTTAATAAGCCAAGAGGGGCACGGATCAAGGTCGCATGTGGTTGGGCGCACAGCTGCGAGTAATCTGTCAACTTTCTCCAGACTGAGTCGGTTAAAACATACTAAACCCGGCTCCAAAGACGTGCAAGGGGCCTTGAGTTCACTCACTGTCTCAAGTGTGGCGGGAAGGTCGCGACGGAGCATCGAGACTTTGTCTGCAAAATAGCTCGCGAATGCCTCACAGCCTATCTCCAATTCCCTATCATTTTGTCTGCCATAAGGCAGAGTTGTCAAAGACCGAATTGTACTAAATAATTGGGCCGGGTGTGAGCTAGCAGACGCAATCGTGGCCGCATAGAACTCCCTCTTTGCGACTTTGACTGCCATCTCATAGGCCTTCATAAACGTCCTATAAGATGCTCTAAATGCTTCATCGCGAGTTCGGCGCCACCGTCTCTCTAGCCGTCTCAGCTCCCGCTTCAGCTCACGCAAATCCTGGGTATACCAAGGCGCTCACCTAACACGAGTGCGGAGAGGGCACCTGGGAGCGATCTTGTCAATGGCTGAGGAGAGCCGTACATGCCAGTCCTCCACCAGCTCATCCAACGAACCGCCAGGGGGCCTCGGATCCCCCAGAACCATCTGAAGCCGCATAGGGTCCATTTGGCGCCACGGGCGAGCATAAATCTGCTCGCCGCCTAAACAGGGTCGGGGTGGAACCCTCAGATGGGCCTTCATCAGTCTCCTAATCTTCCTTTGAAATTCCTTTGTAAGAGACCTGCTACTCTTAGGTCAGCAACTGAATGTCCGGGAAGGTTAAAATGTTCCCCCACTGTTTTTTGAATATTGCGGTTTCTAATGTCAGACTTATGTCCATTTGTTCTTTGCATCCTCCTGGACTGAATCCTCCTGGATCAAACTGAGATCTAAGTTTCCTGACTCATTACCAATGCTGATATCTCCATGCCTACTACCCCCCTGCATATCAGACCTAATCCAATGAAGCGTACTATTGTCATTCACCTACTATTGCCATTTGGCATCTGAAATCACCTTTATGAAGTTCATATCTTTGGTACCTGGTGTTACATTTTACGATACACATGGCATGGCCTGACAAAGTGACATTTATGTCAGATCTGGCCCTCATAACAAATGAATTTGACACCTCTGTGTTAGAGGATAACCAGAGTTGTATAGCCCTCACTCTCTTTCAGAAAGGAACAGTGTGCGATCAAAGCATATTGGAATTAGGAACCAGTATGTAAGGTTATTATTCCCCTGGGCATGGCATATGCTAATGAGCTGTTATGCTAATAGCCTAGTAGCTCATAGCCTAGTAGCATACTTTATGCTAATGAGCTCCTTCAGCTCTTTTTCTACGAAAAGACCCCTGACACATACCATATTCCATTGCCCCCTCTATAGGGATATCCGATCTCGTTTTATTACTCCATTTCTAGAAGGTAAGAGCTGGCACTCTGATGACTCAATTGTTCACTTTCTTCTGCTTAATTCTAATTGCGAAATAATGGAGGCTGTTGCAAAATTTTTATATTATGCAATCAGAAGATGAGGCTTGAATAGCCAAGTGTAAGTGACTGATGCATCTTAGTATTTTCCCGTATTTCCATGATGTTTTGTGCTTTCATGCCAATAAAGGTTTTGTGTGTGTATGTGATTCAGCTTCAGTATGTTCTGCCTTAGGGACCTGACCACGGCCTTAAAGCACTGGCTCAGAACCAAGACAGACACATCTGGAGGCTTGGATAATTAATTGTAGAGCTGGAGGTCAGCTGCATATTGATGACACCCAATCCCAAAACTCTGGATAATTTGTTCATTCGTTCGTTCATTCCTAAGAGTTGGTATGGCTTCAGTCTTTTAGAAATTGCATTATACAGGAAGACAGGAAGCACAAGTGACTGGCCATTCCTGTTTTGGTGTTTCTTTGTAACACCTGAAATTGAACATTTCACTGGCTGTGATTTCCTGATGCAAGGACTGGCCCACTCCCATCACTCCAGCACATGGGAGCCACTCCTGCTTAAAGGTCCCCTGAATGTTGTCATATTGTGCAGTTCCTCACCAAGGCTACAATCCTAAGTGCCTTTCCTAGAGAAGAAGTCCCATTGAACTCAGCAGGGCTTACTTCTATGTACACATGCTTACAATTGCACAGCAAGTGAACTTTGAGTGCCTAATGCCAGTCTTTCTTTTATCGTATCTCTAAGGAGGATATACTCTTAAACCTGTGGCGTAACCCATCTCTCTCTATTCATGGGATAGAAGGAGCTTTTTCTGAACCTGGAATCAAAACAGTCATACCGTCAAAAGTAATAGGGAAATTTTCAATCCGACAAGTTCCTAATATGAACCTTCCTACCGTGGAAAGCCAGGTAATGCTAGTTAAATATTTAATGGATTGTTATTCAGTCTGTTTGCAAATGGCTCGACCTGGGCATGGTTTTCAGGGCCAAGGCTGTATACTCGTACAAAGGGTATTTTTACCCACTCAGAGAATAATGAATAACACCCACATAACTGGTAGAGGGAAAGCTTGCAGACCAGCTTCTGGGACAGAAGTGAAAGTTGTTAGCTTCTCTGGGACTAAAACCTCACTGGCAGGCAGGCTGTCACTGGAAAGAGATTCTGGGATGTAAAGAAGCTAAAGGACAGGGAGCCTAGCGATAGCCTGAGGCAATTAAAGAATCAGTGTGTGAGGCAAAGCACCCTGTTTCCTCCCAAGCATTGATGTGAATATTAGTGGACCTACTACAGCTTTGCAGGTGTCTGTAATTAATCCATCTTGTCCACAGGCTCTCATCTCTTTCAAGGCTGGAGCCAAGAATGTGGCAATTAGTTCTTCCTGAAAGCCTGCGGTCCATAAGGTGGGAGGGGGGGAGCAGGAGTGATGCTGGCAATCTTCCAGAAAATTCCTATTAATGTGGGCTCTGATTGGATTTGGAGCATCACCTGACACCAGAGGGGATTATAACTGAGGGAAGTATAATCAAGGGAAACGGGCTGCTGATGGTGATTTTCCTGGACAGAGGTCTTACCCCTCCACACGCACATCCAATAAGGATACTGTGACCTTAAGTCAGAGTGCCTTCTTGCCTCTGTTTCCCTATCTCTTCTGTTATTTTCCGCAATCCACCTACATTTCCTTCTGGCATTTCCTACTCCACATACTTCCTTCAGCCTTCTTGCCTAATAAGGCTCTCAGTTGCTTAATTCCCCTGCATCCCAAGACCTCTTCATAGTCTTCAGCCTGCAAGATCTTACTCCCAGCCAAACTGATAACTCGTTTTCTTTCCCCAAAGCTGGTCAACAAACCCCAAGAAACTGAATATCCCATGTTTCCATTCAGACTTAGCCAATCAGTAGAAGTTTAATTTCTACAAAAGAAACATAGATAATATAAAGACAAAATTACTAATTTTTCTCTTTTTAGGTGAAAGAGCATTTAAAAAGAGTATTCTCTAAAAGGAACAGCCCAAACAAACTGACTGTGTCTATGCAAGTGGCTGCAAAGCCCTGGATTGCTAATATTAAGAACCTTCAGTATGAAGCAGCTAGAAGAGCGATCAAAACAGGTGTGGAGAATGTTTTGCATGCAAATATATTTCTTATTAATAATCTTCTTAGACATATACTTTTCCTCTTTTCTTAGCTAGGGTTTGGCACATTTCTGCAGGACAAAGATTCTAACATTATAGTTGTAGCTAATGGTATTTTCTCCCATGTTCCCAGATGGTTGTCAAATGATTTCCTAGATCTTTATGGCTTACTTCATCTGAATATGAATGCTTCATATAATTAACTCTTATTTTACTGTTTTGGTGTTGACTGGCATATTATATACTTTGTGGGAAATCTATTACCCTTAGGCTGTATCAATATGTAATCATTTTTAACAGTGCAGCGGCATAAATGAAGAGGACACACAGTGAATAATGTATTGGAAGTGAAAGACGACAGTATTTCTCAGCCTCAGACTTCAGAGGGGACTATAGAGAGTCAGAGATAGATAGGTCAGGAGGACCCTGAACATCTTCCTTTCTATTGCTCTGATACTATCACTTTGATGTGTAGATTGCTACTCAATGAATCTTCCTTCTTTCAGCTGACACCTTCTCTCCACACTCTTCTCCATCTTGGCACGATGAGGGCAGAATATGCTTGCTGCATCTCTATCCATCCTAGCTAGTTAGACAAGATTAGAATCTGGTTTCTATCCTGTCTAGAATGGAGTTCCTTGCAATAAGGGACTCCTATTAGTTTTGCAAAGATAAAGAGGCTCCATGTGTAGCTTTGTTTCTTAGGAGCACACACAAACTTAATAGATTTTGCTGCATTATATGCCTTGAGCACTCTGCTAACCTAATATTCCTTTAGAATGGACATGATATAAACCTTGTGATTTCCCCCCTATCTCTTGAAACACAGAATTCTCATATGTATTATGAACAATGCACAGCCTCAACCTAGAATTCTGCAAAGTTAGAGTCCAGTGGCTCCTTTAAGACCAACAGGTTTTATTCTTTCCTGAATAAAACTTTGTTGGTCTTCAAGGTGCCACTGGACTCTAACTTCGTTCTATTGCTTCAGACCAACATGGCTGCCCACCTGGATCTATCTAGAATTCTGCAGAATTGATAATGGGAAGCTTTGTTCAGGTAGAGAGAGAGGCTTTGATCAAGAGATCCATGAACTGTTCCATATTGAAAGACTGACTCTTGTTTACACTGCTTTATAGATACAAGTCATTTGTAAGTCACTATCACAGACATTTCAGAATTTATGCTGTAGCACATGAAGGAAAAGCTGCTGTTTTCAGCTTGATGCTCTTTCCGTAGCATTAACAGGCCTGTTAATCTTATTAATTTTTTTCTTTTTTGGTATTTTTTAAATATATGCATGTGTATGTGTGTGCATGTGAGTGTGTGTGTACCTGGACGTCATGGCGACCTCAGATGACTGACCCCTACTGGGGGTCTGGAGGATATTCAGAGAGGTGGCTGAATAAAGCCTGCCCCTGCCTCCCCCCTCTGGTATTTCAAGGAGGTCTCCCATCCAAGTACTTGCCAGAGTTGACCCTGCTTAGCTTCCGAGATCAGACAAGATCAGGTTTGCCTGGCTATCCAGGTCAGGGTTCTTGTTATACATTTGATTGGATAAAAGCCAGTCATATGATCAGCTGTAACTTGAAGAACAGAAAGATAGTATTGATTTTTGAGGCATACCTCCTGCTTCAGATTTCCGCCCCCCCCCCCCAATCAAGTCAAGCTGACTTCTGGCAATCCCTAGTGGGGCTTGAAGGCAAAGGGACAACCAGAGGTGGCTTGCCATTGCCTGCCTCTGCGTTACGACCCTGGTATTCCTTGGAGGTTGCCCTTCCAAATACTGGTCAGGGTCGGCCCTACTTAGGTTCTGAGACCTGACAAGATTGGGCTTTCCTGGGCCTGTCCTGCTTCAGAATTGATTGCATTGAGACTTGTAAAAAGGAATATACAGTCTCTGCACATGACTGGCTGGAGTGTTTGTGTTCATATGCTTGCCATTTTGTGTGTTATGTTTGTGTGCATGTGAGTATGTGTGTTATGCTGTATCATCAGCCTGCTGCACAATACAGTTTCATAGGAGCATACATTTTTCCATGCACATTTCAGTGTTTCAACAAGATCCTGATATGATCCGGGATGGATCAACAATTCCAGTTGCCAGAATGTTTGAGGATATAACGAAGAAGAGTGTAATGATGTTTCCAATAGGAGCCGCGGATGATGGAGAGCACTCCCAGAATGAGAAAATAAACAGGTTTATCTATTTGAATTTTCCCATGCATGTTATAGGGAACAAGGGGTTCTGACGATCTCATTTTTTACATCGTCTGAAACCTCTGAGGATTTTTTTTTGGGGGGGGGCAGGCTTTTCTGTTGCAATGGAGACATTAGTGCAGTGTGTTTACACCCTCCATTGAAGTTAGTTGACTTAGAATGACGTTCCATTTCACAAATATGGCAAATGAACCAAGAGATCCAGCCAGTTTTTCCACTGCTAAAAAAGGAGGAAGGGATCCCCTTTGACCACCCAAAAGGGATCAAGGACAAAAGCCATGTGGCATATGGGGGGCTACAATAAGAAGGGGAATTGACCAACATAGATTTAAAAAGCTGGCTGCATCCAATCCAATTCATTTTATGTCATTATAGCATTGAAAAAGGGTTGATAAGTAAATAAGTACTGAATATATTTCAGTTCCCCTCCGATTTCCATTTTTTGTGTGAGGAGAGCACCCTGTAAAATGTTGTCCCC